TCAGTCCACCCAACCCGCCCGATTTAGCATCTCCCACCATAAGATTTGTTCAGGCAGGACGGACTCTAGAGTCCATCCTGCCTAAAGGCAGGGTGGACTCTAGAGTACACCCTGCCTAGGCAGGGTGAACTCTAGAGTCCAAAACGAGGGTAGAGTACACCCTGCCTGCCACACCGGTAGCGCAAATCGCATCTGCCAGCAATGAAGTTGGGTGCGATGAACAAAAAAGCTCGATGTCACTCCCAATTAGACCAGAAATTTTCTGTTACAGAACGAAATGCGTCAGAATCACAGGCCTGAGGTTCGTCATTATTCGCCTTAGGTGTCACTAGGTTTCCAGTCTGTGTCCAATGCGACACGTGAGAGGGGTAAAAGGCGGCAGATTTCAAGATTCGAACTTGGAAAACGCTTTCGTGCTAAACGAGACTCGACGATCATATCATTCGAAATTTGTAGAAGTAATGAATGCAATCTCAGTTTCCTGACAAGACAACAATAAAAGAGCGATCACTTCTGCAGAACAAAGAACTGCATCGACCCCCAAGACACAACTGAAAAAAGGGGAAGTTATCAAAATATAAAAATAGAAACCTCTTTTATTTCCATTCACAAAGTTCTCATTTCCTCGAGAATCATTCTCAGTAAGAAAAGAGAAAACAAGTTCCGCTTATAAAAATAAAAAAACATATCTTATTTAGACACGGGAAGAAATCTTCAATTCAGGAAAATATCACTTTTGTTTCTTTTTCCCGGCCTCGGATTTGCCACCTTGCCTGAGTGTATGACCCGTTCCGCTAAACGCGTTGAAACCTGTCTCGACATCTTGCCTATCGCCTTCCTCGGTATAATCCAGTCGAACGCCTGGCATGAAAGTCAATCGACCAATTTTGAAATCAAAGTCCGGAATGCCAACTTTCTCAATTTCCGCCACTTCCGTCGAATTTCCTTCTGGAGTTAGTGATTGCCCATTGCGATCATTCAAACGTCGTCCTTTCCCCGCAAATGCTTGAAAGTTCCTGCTGAAAATCGATAAAGCCGTGTAAGATTGATTTCACATCGCATTTACAGTAATAGCGCAAATGATAACTTCGAAAACAAAAAAATTCTATTAGTTCTGAATTTCTGCCATCATCAAAGAAATATTTATAAAGAAAACAAAATTTTAGGAATGAACACCATTCAGTTCGGCATTTAAACCGTTAAAAGCTTCCCGTACATGTTTTTCAATATTTTTTCGCAAACCCTTGGAATCATGACCACCCAGCCATACGCTCACCGGACTACAGTATACACATCAATCGAAATAGGGAAAACATGTTCCATGCAATGAACGCTACATTGGAACTAATCATAGTTATGATCAAGTTTGTTGAATATTAACGTGGGATGACAAATAAATGAATGCAGAAGCATTGCAGTTGAAGCTTTCGAAGAGAAGGGCATATGATTCATTCGAAGACCACTGTTTTAATACTCGCTTGTCGTCTGCAGCTTCTGGCGTGATTCTGACAATAGCAGGAGTCTGAGAAGTTGTTGATGGTGCTGACGAGCGTTTTTGGAATTCTTCTTTGTATCCCTCCGGAGGAGCGAAGTCTACATCCATGTCACATTCGATTATGCTCACAGCCTGAGCCGGTTTCGTTTCCAAAACCGAAATCTCGTAAACAGTGTCGTTGTAATGGATCGCGATCACGTCCCCCGCAGTTAAACAAGCGTAAGTCCTCAGTGCGTTCTCCAGGACTGCTTTCGGATTCGTGATTTCGAGGAAAGTCACAGACAAGGGCTTGAACTTTGTGAACGTCGCGCTCGGCAAATTCACAGTCTGGACTCGAACCATTTCTCCTTCCTGAAGCAACAAGTTCCGCATCATCCAATACGGTACGTAAAGCTTCCCTTCCTCAGCCACAAATTCGAGCACGCCACAATGTGTGACCCTGTTAGCAGTTTCGTTGGTCAACTTGAAGAGAAGAGGATAAGGCATGTTCAGTTGAGTCAGCTGGTCCAACGCTGATTGCGGCATGATGATCTTGCCGCCTTTCTCAATATGACCACGCTCTTTACCCGGGAACATGGAAATGGAGTAGCATTTGTATCTGTTGTTGAAGGGTCGCGCTTGCCAGGGGCCATGGAACATCTTGGAATTTCCTCTCGAGCAAGCGCAATGAAATTTCAGAGAGAAGAACGCAGAAGGTCAAGGAATGAAACCCAATTCATTTTCTTGCGCATCTGTGTTTTCAACAGCCTCGCGAAAAGTGACGATGTGGATACCGTCCACCCAGTCCATGAATAATAAAAGCGTAGTGCAGTTTAAAGAAAGATCTAAATATCAAACATTACTCAGATACCCCTCGTAACATCTAAATGTGATCAGTACCGGGAGTTCCATCAACGATCGAAAACGTTTAATGATGAAAACAATAACACCCAGTGAACAATCGATTCATTTGTTGACGAATTAAGTGCTACCGAACGTTTTTCAGGTAGGAGCATAACAGTTGAAAGCCGGTATCTCCTGAACAATTCAGGCAACCATCTCGAAAGGAATTTGCGTTAAATTTCGTACGATCTTCACATCAATGCAAAATGTTACAAGTCTAACTCTAGCACTATCGGTATTACTTTAGTGCACATTAAAATAAATAATTTAATTAATTTAATTTAGTTAAGGACATTTTTTTGTATTTTTTGAGCTGAAATCTCGTTCAAACCCTACGTTGAATGTTAGAAAATGTGTTCGTCGACGAATTTTTCCATATCAGCTTTCAGTTGCATTCAGAAAAAAAGAGGGTAAGGAAATTTAGGGTTGGCAGAAATTGTCCAAGACAGCATGCTGTTAGTAGAGTTGGAAAAATAAGGTTATATACAGGAAAATATCATTAAAGGTGCAGATTCTACCGCTGGCACAAAGCAAATTAGGCATCCTGCAAAAATAATAGAATGAGGGATGCTTTACAAGGCAGTAGCTTGAATTGTTCCGGAGATGATTTCGGGAAAATAGGTTACACGACCCATGTTATGTTCGGTGTAAATAAGAAATTTTCTTTTACGTCATTTCGAACATTCATCGTCATTCGAAGATGACTGTAAACGCTAAACCGCTTGTAATCCTTCAAGTTCAGTGTGCACAAGTGGCGTGTCTCCCGCCGTCAACAGGTAAACAAACACCAGTGATAAACGAAGCTTGATCACTCGCAAGAAATACGATCGCGGATGCAACCTCATCCGCTCGTCCAGCACGACCCAATGGATGGGTCTCCTTGGAACGTTCCAAGTACTGCGAACACAACAATGGAAATTGATAAATCTTGACTTCTTCAATCAATTCATAACTGATCTTCACCTGTTCGTACTCATCATCGGTCAATCCGGCTCGTTTCTGAAGCTCAGTGACAATAACTCCAGGACTGGAAACGTAATTAAGATTAGAAAAGCAAGTAAACCTCAATAATGCCATCGGTGAAATGCTTAAAGCAGACTACACGAAGGATGAATGATTTTCGTAAGTCCATCAGAAAATATATCCGTGGTCAACAAGACACTTCTCTTGAAGTCCCGGTTTGGATAATTAATGTATCAAGCATACGAAACGGCCCTTGTACTTCACTTCACGCGAAATCCAGAAATTTTAACTAAGACTCCTCATATTCGAATAGTGTACTAACTTGACAGAATTGCAGCGTATTCCATACTTCGCCAAATCTGTGTAGGAGAAAGAGAAGGTGTCCTCATTATTCCTAATTCGATTGCAGGTTACAATGAAAGGAAGAACTAAAAATTCACAAGACTCACCCAGGGAAACAGACCGAGTAAGTTGATCCAGTCCGGCCTTCGCAACATTGTAAGAAAGCTTTCCTGGAAACTTCAGATTCAGATTCACTTGCAAGTTGCTATGGAAGTTTACGATGAACTTACCGATCGGATGCCATTAATACTCGACACATTCACAATGACTCCTTTTGACTCGATCAGATGCGGAACTGCTTCTTTGATTATGCACAAAACTGACCTATGACAAGAAAAAATCCCAACTCGCATTATTCGCAGAGCGAACATCATAAGCTTACTACTGAACTACCGCAGATCGACTATCATGACTTCATCGAACTCTTCGGTGGACGTTTCTTCGATTCCTCCAAACTTCTGAATGCCGGCATTGTTGATGAGAACGTCGATCCTGCCGAACTGGTTGATAGTTTCACGGATCACCTTCTCAGCCTCGTCCTGTACGTGAAAGTCTGCTCGGATTTTCAAGTTTTCACGCTTGTTGATTTCATGGCATCTGCTCCATATCTTTCCATGACATGATGAAATGAGACGTTTGTAAACAATAAATGATTAACGCAGCAATCATCAACCTCTTCCAATTTTGCTTCATCCCTTCCAACAAGAACAAGTTGCGCACCGAGTGACGATAGGCGGAGACTCGTGGAAAACCCAATCCCGGACGTGGCTCCAGTCACAACAGCAATTTTATCGCTGAACATACTTTTCAATTTATTAGAACTGAAACTCAGACACATAATAAAATGCTGAAATCGACAAGCGATCCCTCAAGTGCAAATTATTCGCTCAAACGCCTTGATGACACGAGCCCTGTAACACTTTTTGATGGAATGAAGTTCTCCAGCTTTCTAAATTTCACTGAAAGCTCAACTCCTATACCACGGGGTATCAAGAGTTCGTGCAGAAGTGATCCTGTGTACAAAGCTCAGTTTATCATACTGAGCTTGAGAATAAAGTGAAGTGAATAGCAACGTTAGGTCCGAATCAAGATTCACCGAGCATCGGTTTAAAATACTTCATCGCGCTCGAGTGAACGGAAATCCAGACTTCCTTATCGACCGAGTAAATAGGGGCATCGTTCCACAGCGAGTGTTAGCGATTGAAAATGGAGAAAGTCGCTCTCATTTCTAGTACCTGTATTTGAAAATAACAAGTGAGCATGAGAATTAAGACGAGAGAGAAACCCAGCACGACACATCCTACTGACAGCGATATCATTTTTCCCCACACAATTACTCCTTTTCCCGCTTAGCATTGCTTCTTTGTCGCGAGAAAAAAATTGGCCGAAGTTTGAAAAAAGATCGTTAAGAAACGTATGACAAAGACGACAGCAGCGTGTCAGAAGAAAACAACGAAAATTGACAAGAAAAAAAAATTTCTTGACCAATTTTTGATTTTTTTCCCCTTCTGAAACTCGAATTGTTTCATCGGATATAGCGTGCTTTCGAAAAATAAAATTGTTGAACCTCTAGGAATGCTTCGTCAGAAGAAAGCTGCAATTTTACTTGGCTTTATACAATAAAGGATTTATTCATGTTACTCATACTTTCCACATCGTTATTCGTCGCGTAACTGCCCGTGCTCCATTCGTCAAATCTGTCAACTATCAGAAATATTCACCTCGGAAAATATCCCCGAAAAGTTGTTCGCTGAAAAATAATAAATTCAATAATCCTCGAGAAACGGGAAGACCATTCTCGTTCGCTGAAAAAAACTCATCACGAGTTCTACTGCACTTTTCGCATACAAACAGAAGAATTTTTGCCCGCGAAGAGAAGTGGACCCTGATCACAACAGCTCAAATTGAAAACAAAAACAGATGCACACTTCGGATTCGAAATTTTTCCTCAGAAAATACGCGTAATCTATCGAATCCAATGGATCGCAATGATTCGGATTAATACGGATAAGCCGAGTCACGAACACTTCTTCCGCTCGTCGCGTACCTGCGAAATGAAAATTTTCTACAAATTATAATCTTTTATTTTACGTCTATGAGTTTTCCAGTTGTGGAGCAGAGGTTATTCCGCGAAAGAATTGGTACACGTTAAGAAAGACATCGTCCAAGGAAGATACAATATCTCTTTAACGCTCTTCCCAGCTATACTCCGAATTGTTGAACAAACGTTATCCACGATAAGGGCGAGTTCAAAATAAGAAATGACACAAAAAAGTACGGTACACGTAAGAGAAAGTGCACGAACGAGCAACTGGGCAGTAAATAGGACTACGCTCGCAAAACTGAGATAATCAATAACGATTGTAGAGCAGGTGTCGATAACTCATCCTGAAATCGAGAGTTGGACACTTACTCGAAGTAGCGCTTACTGACTTGATCATTCGTCTCCTGGATTGCAATTTGAATCGAAACAACGAAATAATCCCGAAAAATGTAAATTTTTTCCGTCAAGATATAAAAATAAAATAAATTACCTCGTGCTCGATGTATACGCCGGAACGTACGTCGGAGAACTCTCCAGTCGACTACAAATAAAATAAAGTCAAGTGAAAATATGTTCAACTCTGCAACTCATCGAATGTTTTCACGAGAGAAGGTGACGCAACAAGAGCTACGCGAAGACCCGCGAGTAATGAGAAGAAAAGCTATACCGTTCAACAACGTAGACAAAATAGTTACCTGCTCTGGTGAGCTCTAAGAACCGGAGAAGAACCGCCCCTAGCTCATGACATTCTGTAATGCCCAACTATTGGCATTAGGTAACTGGCCGAGGCGGGCCTTAGCGGCCGAAGGCTTGCTTAGCTTCTTGCATGACCTCTGTGCACTGACGAAACTAACCGCAAGTAGAGGAAATAACGGCGATATGCTTCGTGATAGTCCCTCGACCTACCATAAAATGCATCGCCTATACGCTTTCACATCAACTCAGCGATGGGCATTCCAGAAAAATCACCTTTACAACATGCAATAAAAGATTCACGAAACCTCGAAGAACAGACTTCTAAGCCAAATACGGCGGAAAAAATCTTCGTCCGAAGTTTTATATGAGGGAGGAAGTGGTCTAATGAAAATTGCACCTCAAGTCTTGGGATTAATATTAAATTGTTCACTCCCGTTTCTCAAGAAATCGGATCAAGATACTGTATAGACTGATGCAATTATAAACACGGTGAAATAATGTTGAATGATTCGTTCGACAAATAGTATACATGGGGTCCAAAAGACCAGAGAGCAGTACTAAGTTCTTAACAAGTAAATCAGTTTTGGGCCCATTATGTGCTCCCAACAAGGCGCGTACCATTCCAAAAGCGCCAAAGTTCCCCTCGCGTTAAAAAATAGCGTAAAGAGAAATTGGGCATCTTTCACTGAAAACGTTCAATTGTTTACTGCACGCGTTTTTGATTCTTGATAGAATAAATTCCGAATACACGAAGAGTCGCAATTATTCATAGGCGGAAACTTCCAAAATTTAAACTTCTCAATTTTTATAACTAAAAATTCCAGTGCGTACGGAATGATAAGTTCGCTTAGGTGATTTCAAGCGCTCATCAAAAATTCAAAATTTCATTTGTAACTGAAATCTTATTTTACATTCTTGGATCACTTGTGCTCAGGTCAACGCATGGCTCGCATATTTTCATTTTGAACCCAATATTGCCAATAAAAAATGTAACTTGATGCCTTTTCAAAGGAAGTGAAAGATTAGGTGGGCAAATAAAACCTCGTCTTCAACTTCAGCATTCCGTCAACTTGTTTAGGAAGCAATTTGAACCCAAGAATATCTCCAATTACAATTTCCTGTAATTCTTCCTTCTTTCCCCCAACATAGATGTTTAAAAAAAAACGGATTTAGTTATAAAGAGCGACGAGGGAAGTTCAAGCTGAACTTCTCCAAACTGAAGTCTTATAAACTGCTTTGCAAAAGAGCTTCTGAAATACTTACTTTTTAAGTTTTACTTAGAGGAAGAGATTCGCCGTTCATTCTGTTACACATTCAACTTTTCGAAGTTACGAAGGGGCTTTTCGAAATTACGAATTCAACTGGATAAGATCTTCAAGTCACTCAGTTATAAAACTCATCGGAAAATAGACCATGAACTCGGAAGATAATCTGTCAACCAATGGAACAACATCCTCATACAAGAGACAAGCCTCTACCTGAAATATGAATCATTGTAATACGCGGCGGTCGCACTGGATTGCATCGACGAGTCAAGTCGCCTTTCGTAAAAAGGCCAAGAACGAACCGGGGCCCTGCAGGCAGAAACACTCGAAAATCTACCGTCGAGTAATTCGGGCGAACGAACGATCATCGGCGAGCGCAGAGATACACTTCCCCTAGCTACACCTAGACTACGCCATCCGCGTTTCCCAGTCGAGTGTTCCACGGTAATCCGAGATCCTTTGAAATTAATTTGATTCAGACACTTAATTGCTTCTTCGGCCTCCTCAGCGGTGGACATGTGAACAAACCCAAAACGGTTCAACACGTCACACTCAGTCACAGTTCCATATTTCTCGAACAATGCGCGAAGCTCTTCAGCATTGCAAACCTCCGGTAATCGGCCAACAAAAATTTTGGTCCTCTGGCGAGAGAACATCAAGTACAACGAAACGAAAAGACAAGTCCTACGGTTTTCAATGCACTTACCGGAGTGTACGACATACTGACAATGATTAATATCACTGAAACGCTTTTACGAATTGTAGAAACTTCTGAAACAACATATCACGCAAAAAATCGAATTAACAAAATGAAAGTATTACCAATTGTAGAAGCGAATGAGCTTCATTATCATAATTTTTCCGCGCGATCCAATTCCGGTGAACATCCAGGGTCGACACTACTTCGACATCGATCATTTTTTTCCGAGTGGAATATTTACAAATTTCGACCCAGAACGCAAAATCCTTCAAAAATAGGAACTTCGATGAAGGGACACAAAGTTGCGAACGAATGATATAATTAAAAGAAAACAACCGTTCCCGAACTCAGTGATTTTAGCGTAACATTAAGATAGAAAGATGAATAAATGAGCCGATTTTCCTTCCGGTCAGAGCTAGTCCCGGTACTGGCAATTGTGACGCCACCACGCACACCTCGTTCAGTTTTCTCGCTTCTGTAAAAGAAAAGATGACAACACACTCCGTAAGACGCATTATAAGATGACAGGTCTACTCGCAAAACAACCTTCTTAACAAATAATGCTACATATTTCGAGCAATGCATACACTTATGGCGTAAGGGATCAGGGGTTTAATTCACAAAAATCATCGCTGATTTCTAACCATAAGTTATGGGCCAAAACGTTAACCAGTATCTTGTGTATAATATTCAGTTCTTTCTTATCGTAAAACACGTGAAAAATTGAAATGACGCCTTCAAAACACGCCGAGGAGGCTAGAAATAAAATGATGGTGGCCAAAAAGATGAAAAATGGTTACGAAGAACTTTTTTTACACGCCACTCTGTCGTTCAAATCCCATCACATCTTGCACGATGCAGCTTTAATACTCAAATGTACAACGCAGGAACCCGAAAGGAAACGGAACTTCGGAGAACTTTGAGTAAACTCGAATTGCTAGTTTCGGCTGCCAGTGACTCCAGCCAACAGTACTGTATATAAAAAAATTAATTGATGGATTAATTAATTCATGAAAATTAATAAATGAAACTGCGTCTTCGTTATGGACAGCGTAAAAAAATCCAACACGTGCAATAACAAGTGTCTCACAGCACAGTGGGTAAATCTTTGGATACCGGGAATCCATCAGTGGAATCTGATACTCAAAACATTTCTAAAAGCAACTTTGTTCTTCGGAAACGGTCTTCTCGAATAATACGATAAGAATTTTCGTAGAAGCCCAAGCTTACCTCCTTCTTCTTGTTCGAGGTCATAATCGCCACCAGGAAGCGGAAAATCTCAATGAAGTCAATAAGCAACATAGCTGCGTCCAGAACAACGTCACGGTAGCCCAATGAGCACCTCGCGGCAATCATTTGAGTGTCATACAGAACGAAAGCCAATGCAATGGCCAAAGAGACGTATGGATAGACCTGATAAAAACGGGAGACCGTCGCATCAATGAATTCGGTTAGCGTTAGCGAACGTCAACCACACTCACGGTAAAAACCCAACGACCTGGAAATCCGACCAGAAGTTGAGTCAAAATGGTGAGAGAGACCCATGACATGACGTACAGAATGGAATGTCCAAGGAAAAGGTAAGATCCTGGTCTGGCAGTCAAAGCTCCTAAAGAAAATGCCACAAAAACGACGGCAGTTCCCAACAAACACGTCATGATGATCGTCGGATCAACTTGAATCGCAGCCACCAACAGTGGCCACATTCCATGTCCTGAAAAAAGAAATTTGTAATTAGTTTGGAGTTCCGAGTCTCTTCTTGCAACTAGTGAAAAAGGTCTTCATTCATTAAGCTACAGAACAGCTCACCCATGAAGAAAGAGGCAGCGAACAACAAGCCAATCCGCGTCTTGAGGTTTTCGGCGGTTGGTGACATGAAAGTGATACCCAGAATGCAAAGCAAAGCAATGAAACCTCCCAAGAAGCTTTCAGCCATAAAACTGCCTTTGACGGCCACGTAAGATCCGACTGCTGTGAACAACAAGCTGACTCCCATCAGAGCGTAAACACTCTGAAGGTACTTCGCCACCCGCGGGGCACTGCAAAATACATCAAAGATTACAGCATTTGAAAGAGGAAGTGCGGTCAGAAGCTTACTAATTTCCCTTCAAGGTATCCATGTCAGGCAGTTACCACTTGGGCGCCCAAGCTACGACTCTCATTACTGATAAGTACGAATTAAAAGCTGTCATTTCGTGCCGCCATTTACGAGCTGCATAGCGAATGTGCCTTATTTTAAATAAGAGGAGAGGAAAGATCACAGAGAACTTAGCAGCAGATCCGATTCAGTTTCCTCACACTTCCAGAAATCTTGACAGAAAGCTTCACTGAGTGGCAACTTTCGCCGTACAGGACAATATCCACACGTTGCCTTGCATCACGATCACCTACTGAGGTTACTACGCTTCAAAATCTGGAACATCTAGATGATTCGAGTGGTACATTAATGGTTTGGGTGGGCGAGTCAGACAGCCACCCCTGAAAAAAAAATTCGTCATATATGTGCTCATCTGGTACTGTACCTCAACTTTACATAGTCCTGGTCGGCGTCGTTCTCAAGTACTGCATCTTAGAACTTATTTCAATGAATAAGGTAAAACTTCGTAGGAATAAAGAGACTTCACGAGGGCACGATTTCTGATGCTTTTCTGTGACACACTTCATCCGTTCTTCAGGTAGGACGTACTACAGAGACTGTTGCATATTACTGTAATGCACAGTATGAAGGTTCGTACATTAACAGCTTAGGACAGTACTTATTTATGACAAACTAAGTACGGTACATAGGAAGTTTGTTTCTTGAGGAGTGGATCTTGCATGTTCATCACCTTAGTCATACTACATAGAACGCAACCGCAAATATTCCAAACTCTGGAATATGTGGGTAAAAAGGGCAACTGCTCTGCATGGTTCTTCTCATATGGTCACCCACTATGCTGGTACGTTTGCTTACAGTAACATCAAACGCGTTAGCTGGCAGTCGTGTGACTCACCGGTCGGCAAGTGAGACAGTATACGTGATCATGAAGTAATGTATGTACTGTACTGTACTACTGTATGTATATATCATCCGTGTTCTATGGAGCATCACCATCGTTTGTACCTTTGGGATTAGGGCTGATGAGCTCATCAATAAGAAAAGACTTCCGTCACCGGCTAACATGAACTGCCGATTGTTACGCTGTGCAAGACATATTATACGTGTAGGGCGCGTTATGTATCGTCGAAATAACAAGAAAAGCCTTCATCAGTAAATGTGCTTATCACAAGATCCTTTTCATTTGCAATATGTACTGTACATGCAGAGGCGGCCCTAGGGTTTGCGGGGCCTGGGGCAAGCATGTCAAATGCGGGGCCCCTTAAAAAATGCTCCCTGCCAATTCTAAAACAGCACTGGAACAATGAAAAACAAGATTTGTATCAAAGTACAGCTGCAGATCTAATTACATTTTTGAAAGCTATAAAAAGGTCTTTTGCAAGTTAAATGTTTTATAATCTTTTTCAATTACTTGTACTATAGCAT